ATTATACGCCTTTTTGTATTTAATTGAGAGCTGCCACGCCCCCTACTCATAATCTGCCCATTTTTTCTTACATCTTTATATTTGTACTAAATTTCAAGACTCTAGGCCAGAAAATCCCATTTTATAGATTCTTATTGAATCTATGTTTCTATGTTCTATATGATTTCTTAGAGAACATTCCCTAAGTTAAGTTTTCTATATAAATAAAACATTAAAGCGTTAAATAGGATCAGTTAGTAACCTTTCGCGTTTTACACTGTTTTGAAATGGCATTATTTCTATATGCAGTTGCCGTTATTGTTTTAACTTGGATCATATATCGTTGGTATAGCCGACCGTATGTGAGACTAGCCCAACAAGTACCATCGAATAAATTGCATACATTACTTTGTTGGGGTAAAATACCGAGCAGAGAAGGTAAAATAATTTAAATTAAAATAAAAACTTTAAGTTTTATATCGGTCCAAATTTTGACAAGTGACAAATAAAATTCCATTATCATTTTAGAGGGTCTTCTATACATATATGAAAGTGGCAAAAAATTCGGTTCCAATTGTGTTGTATGGATAGGACCATGGCCGTTATATCTCACAAGTGATCCACATATACTAAAAGAAATTTTAACATAAAAAAATTGTATAGACAAACCAGCCGCAGCCTATAATGGATTTACTTCGGTATTCGGTCCAGGTTTAATAACGGCAAATGGTAATCTAAATCTATATATAAAATAATTGTAAGATTTTTAATTTTTCATACTCTTTAGAACCAACCTGGAGTCAACATCGTAAAATACTAAATAGAGCTTTTACACCCAAAAATTTGAATTCATTTTTTCATATTTTTCATAAAGAGATTGATAAAGTAATCGAACAGATTCAATTAAGCATAGATAAGGGAGAGGACATTGATATGTTGCTGATATTTCGTGAATTGACTCTCAAAAATGGTTCAAGTAGGTTATGGCGTAAATAAAGAGTTTCGGAAAAATTAAGAAATATATTCATTATATTTACAGAAACAACCATAAAAAGAAATCTGGAGAATACGGAATTTAATTCATATGTTATGTCAAAACATGCCAGCGGGTTAGTAGTAGTGTTACTAATATATCTCCCTTTGAAAATTTAACAATCTTTATATTTCTAACTCTACAGATTTCTAGAATTTACGGCTAATGCTTGTCTTAATCAAATTCTTGGTTTGAAATGGATTTGTAAACTCGCCGAGATCTCTATATATAGAAGTGCAAGATCCGGTTTGAACATGTTTCGTAGAGTGATCAATGAAACTGCAGATATATTGCAGAAAAATACCATAACCGATCCCAGCATATTACCCGAAATAAATAGTGCTTTGGATCAAGCTTTACAGGGAGTTCAACAAAATATTTTCACTCGCAAAGACATCGAAGGACAAATGTTTCATTTCTTTATTGGAGTAAGTAGTAATGATATTTAATGGAAATAAAATTTGAACCTAAACCAAAATGAATAAATTTCTTAAGGCCTTTGAAACGACATCCACTACCATGTACATGACAATTTCAATGCTGGCCATGCATCCGCAGTATCAGGAACGTATATATGAAGAAGTAATAAATACACTACCACCGGATGATAATGACATTACATTAAATATGGTCGATCAATTGACCTTTTTAGATATGGTTATAAATGAGACCATGCGCTTGTTTCCCGCCATACCGATGGTATTGCGTAAAGTTACAAATGAAGATCTCTCTCTGAGCAATGGTTTGACATTGTCAGTGGGTCAAATAATTTGTATTGATCTATTTGGCTTGCATCGTAGTGAAAAGATTTATGGTCCTCATGCAGATAAATTTAATCCCGATAACTTTTTACCTTCAAATGTTGCTGATCGTCATCCGTACTCATATCTGCCATTTACCAAGGGACAAAGATTTTGTATTGGTAATTATAATAACAAAAATATATAATAATTTAGTACCAATATTATTTATTATTACCCTTTTTGATTTCAGGTTGGCGATATGCTGGCATATTTCTTAAAATTTCTTTGGTAAAACTAATTAAAACTTATAAATTTTCTACAGATTTTAAATATGAAGATTTAGTTCAGCGTTTAGAGAATCATATATCATTAAAAGTTGTTGATGGACCACGTATTCACTTGGAAAAAACGGGAATAATTTTAAAATGTTATTGAAATTAAAAAAAATAATAAAACATTTGTATGAACATATTTATTAGATAAATTTTATTCAGGCTGATGTTGTTTTAGGTTAAAGTGTTATACCCTCTCTACCAAATGTAAATATTTGTGAAGCACATACAAATGTAGTTTACACTTTTAATTAAAATTGTTGGTAATCCAGTTCCACTACAGTATTTTGGTTAGAACCAAATTAAGCGAAACTTGCAAAATACTAAAACATTTTTAAAAACAAGTTTACAAGTTCATAGAACTATCAAAGCATTAAAAAAACTTTTAGAAACAGGAAATACCGTGACTTTTTATTTGCCAAATCGATTAAATCCAATTTCAAACATTCAGAGGCAATATAGACTAGACTATAGACTTGACTATAGATTGGACTAATGATTGGACCATAGACTAGACTATAGACTTGACCATAGACTAGACTATAGACTAGACTATAGACTAGACTATAGACCAGACTATAGGCCAGACTATAGACTAGACTATAGACTCGATTATAGACTAGACTATAGACTAGACTATAGACTAGACCATAGACTAGACTATAGACTAGGTTATAGACTAGACTATAGACTAGGCTATAGACTAGACTATAGACTAGGCTATAGACTAGACTATAGACTAGACTATAGACTAGACTATAGACTAGACTATAGAGTAGACTATAGACTAGACTATAGACTAGACTATAGACTAGACTATAGACTGGACTATAGACTAGACTATAGACTGGACTATAGACTAGACTATAGACCACAATATAGATTAGACTATAGACTAGACTATAGACTAGACTATAGACTAGACTATAGAATAGACTATAGACTAGACTATAGACTAGACTATAGACTAGACTAAGACTAGACTATGACTAGACTATAGACTAGACTATAGACTAGACTATAGACTAGACTATAGACTAGACTATAGACTAGACTATAGACTAGACTATAGACTAGACTATAGACTAGACTATAGACTAGACTATAGACTAGACTATAGACTAGACTATAGACTAGACTATAGACTAGACTATAGACTAGACAATAGACTAGACTATAGACTAGACTATAGACTAGACTATAGACCACAATATATACTATGACTAGACTATAGACTAGACTATAGACTAGACTATAGACTAGACTATAAGACTAGACTATAGACTAGACTATAGACTAGACTATAGGACTAGACTATAGACTAGACTATAGCCTAGACTATAGACTAGACTATAGACTAGACTATAGACTAGACTATAGACTAGACTATAGACTAGACTATAGACTAGACTATAGACTAGACTATAGACTAGACTATAGACTAGACTATAGACTAGACTATAGACTAGACTATAGACTAGACTATAGACTAGACTAATAGACTATAGATAGACTATAGACTAGACTATAGACTAGACTATAGACTAGACTATAGACTAGACTATAGACTAGACTATAGACTCGACTAGACTAGACTATAGACTAGACTATAGACTAGACTATAGACTAGACTATAGACTAGACTATAGACTAGACTATAGACTAGACTATAGACTAGACTATAGACTAGACTATAGACTATAGACTAGACTATAGACTACTATAGACTAGACTATAGACTAGACTATAGACTAGACTATAGACTAGACTATAGACTAGACTATAGACTAGACTATAGACTAGACTATAGACTATATAGACTAGACTATAGACTAGACTATAGACTAGACTATAGACTAGACTATAGACTAGACTATAGACTAGACTATAGACTAGACTATAGACTAGACTATAGACTAGACTATAGACTAGACTATAGACTAGACTATAGACTAGACTATAGACTAGACTATAGACTAGACTATAGACTAGACTATAGACTAGACTATAGACTAGACTATAGACTAGACTATAGACTAGACTATAGACTAGACTATAGACTAGACTATAGACTAGACTATAGACTAGACTATAGACTAGACTATAGACTAGACTATAGACTAGACTATAGACTAGACTATAGACTAGACTATAGACTAGACTATAGACTAGACTATAGACTAGACTATAGACTAGACTATAGACTAGACTATAGACTAGACTAAAGACTGGACTATAAACATTACTTTCATTTAAATGTCTTAAAAACTAACCGAAAATCTGTTTAGTCGGTCTAGGCCTCCTTTATCTGTTTATTGTTAACAAATATATTAGATTCAAGATAATATTACAAATAAGTGATTTTTTAATTCATTAAAAACTCTAACATCTTCTGCATAGTTCAGTCTATAAAATCTTCTAAATCTCATATTAACACTCTTACTATTTATATTTTCAAACTTACGTTAATAATTATTAAAGATTTACTTTGAGAGCATAGAGTAATAACGAAATCAAGATAAATTATATGTAAAACTTTGAGTATTTGCAATTGTCTATCTATACTGCCAAATATTTTCTACCTGTTTGCATAAAATTATTCTAACTGGTTTTCAATATTCCCAATTAGTTAAAATAAAAACTAAAACATTAGAAAACTTTTTTTTCCACCGGTCGACCTTGACCGACTAAGACAGATTTTATTTCAACAAATTGCTGTTATATGTAATCGTTTTAAAATAAATACATACATTTTAAAGTTGTTTTCCATGTACCATACATAACGATTTCATTTCCAGCACTATTTTTAGACTAAAAGCCCAAATGCAAAATATTATTAATTTTATATAAATTAAGCGTTAATGCGTTAAATTAGTTTAGTTAGTTAAATTATTGTGTTGTAATCTGTTCAAAATGGGATTAATACTTTTCGCAATTGTATCGTTAGTATTTCTGTGGATAATAAATCGTTGGAATTCGAGAAGTTTTGTGAGTTTGGCCTATAAACTGCCATCGAATAAACTGCATACATTATTGGGTTGGGGCAAAATATTAAGAGGAAAAGGTAATTATGGACTGGAAAGGATAAATTCGTTTTGGATTCAAAAAAAAAAAACTTAAAGTGGAATTCATAGAAAATTTAATATGTGAACAGTGTCTAAATAATATGAGAATAAAAAATATTCAAATTGTATCTTAAAAATTAAGAAGTAAATCGGCTTTGTATAAAATTCTCATAATCGGGCGAATTTTTAATATCTCCCCATTAAGTTTTTACTTCCAAATCTTTCGATAAATCCAATTCTCTTCATATATGTACATTACCTTAACCGATTTGAACGTACTTTTTAAAATTCATTATTATGTTTTTCTTTAGATATCCTCTCATGCATGTATGAGCATGGCAAAAAATATGGTCCCAACAGTATATTTTGGATGGGACCATGGACGTTTTTCCTCTCAAGTGATCCACAAGTAATAAAGGAAATTTTAACATCAAAAAACTGTTTAGATAAACCATCACTAATATACAATGGAGTTTCTGCCGTAGGCGGTGAAGGTTAATAACCGAAAGTGGTATGTTTAACTCAATAAGTCTGGGAATGATAATTAACCATTAACTGAATTATACCGCTTGTAATTTTTAGAACCAATGTGGGGTCGTCATCGTAAATTATTAAATCGTGCTTTTTCCAATAAAAATCTATATTCATTTTTTCCCATATTTCATCGTGAAATCAATAGTTTAATTAAAAGAATCGATATAAGTATTGTAAAGCGTAAGGATATTGATATGCTGGTGATATTACGTGAATTAACTTTAAAGAATGCAACACGTAAGTGTAGATTGTTAAAAAATCTATCAAATATTTTGCTTTATTTAATTTGTTTAATTATATCATTAATTTAAAATTTTCTTTTAATTTTATAGAAACAACTTTAAAACGAAATTTAGATTTAACCAAATACAACACCAGTTCCCTGTCAAAGCAATTTGAAGGGTAAGTTTTTCAAGTTAACATCGAGTCACTCGCCAATTTTTATAGATTTTACTAGATTAGTTCAGTTTCGACTATAGATAGGTCTATATGCTAGTCCATAGTCGTGTCCCTATTATCATCTATAGTTTGGTTTATAGTTTTGTCGATAGACTCGTCTATAGTCAATACTATAGCCTACAGTTTCGTATAAAGTCTGGTCTATAGTCCCATCTTGGTCTTGGCTATAGAGGAGATTCCTGTAGTGTGGCTTTTAGACTTTTCTATAGTGTCGTCTATAGTCCAATCTATTTTTTGTTAGCTCTATATACTGGTCTTATCTTTTCTATAGTCTAGTCGTCGAGTCGTCTATAGTCTAGTCGTCGAGTCATCTATAGTCTAGTCGTCTATATAGTCTATAGTCTAGTCGTCTATAGTTTATATAGTCTAGTCGTCTACAGTCTATATAGTCTATAGTCTAGTCGTTTATAGTCTAGTCGTCTATAGTCTATATAGTCTATAGTCTAGTCGTCTATAGTCTAGTCGTCTATAGTCTAGTCGTCTATAGTCTAGTCATCTATAGTCTAGTCGTCTATAGTCTAGTCGTCTATAGTCTATGTGACGGTAACGTCTGTTTATTTGAAGGATAAAACACTAAAAAATATTCTTTTATTAGATTTTTGTTTGTAAAACATAAACAAATAACAATCAGCTGCGCTCGTAACTCTACACTACGGTTTCTTTTTCATTGTTGTTTGACATTCGTGATGGATATCCATAAAAGGGTATTGACGTATAGAGGGCAGTAGCGTTTCCTTAGGGGATAAAGGGTCATTCACAATAACAGACCTGACGAAAAATCAGGGAACGACCTTAAAATGTTATTGAAAAAGGTAGAAAACAGGAAAATTAGGGAATAGAGGGGAGTTAAGGGAATGGTATGTGTACATAAGCTTAATCACGCATTTTTACAAGATCACATTAATCATTACACAATTGGATATAGAAGTGTGTGCTTGCTCAAATAACCCAATGAAAGTTATTGTAAAAATATTTGAAAATTGTGATATTGATTAAATTCAAAGTTATAAAAAAAATATAACACCATCTTTAATAAATACTGTTAAACTAGTGCTTCAATAAAATAAATATTTAAAAAAGGTATGAAACAAATTCGGAAAATGAATCAAATAATTTTAACATATTCCACTGATTATGTAATATTTATACAAATACACATAATTATTGAATTAATTATGCGTTGAATATTATATTGTGACGTTTGTATAAAATTAAATGATCAAATTGAAACAAGGAAAATACTGGATGTTGATTAATTTTGGTTTTTCTTACGAAGGTGATTTTGTCAATGTTGCAGTGCCATCTAGTGTTAAGATACCGAAGATTGTATAGTAAAGATAAAAACCATACAGAAGCGTTATAATTCACCACACAGCACGGACAACGCCAGACAAATCCAAGGCTGAAAATACAGGTTTTTTTAACATTGGTGACAAACTAAAAAGAACTGGGTAAGCACAAAAGAAAATTGACCTGGTGACATTATAACGACCTAATTGACCTATAAAGGTCATATCCGATGACCGTGATTACAACATATACTATATAAGAAAGGAAAACGTGATCCATAACCGTTATGTATTGACTGAACGACGTGTTACTGTATTATATATATAGATATATAAATGTAGTGTATATGTAGAGTATATAAGTGTACAAAGAATGTGTGTTCGAGTATATATATATATAAAAAGAAAATATATAAAAAACTAAAAATTTAACCTTAATTTTTTTTTAAGCAATTATATAATAAGTCTGATATTTATTAACTTCTATTGTAATCATTACGATCTAATTAATTTCCTATTAATCATAAAAGAAAAAAAGAAATCAAAATATAAAGGAAAATATAAAAGTATATACATGTATATACATATGTATATGTGTACATATATATATATGTAGGTATGTACACAAGTCTATGTGTGTGCAAATATATCCACCCATATAAAAATACATTTACCTTAGATTCACGATATACAACAAACTATTTTCCTTTGTATAAATTTATTAATAACTCTAACTAAACTAATTCATAAATCATAATACGAATCTTACCAATAGTTCAGGGATAAAGAGGAAATCCCAAAAAAATATATATGAAAATAAAAGAAAACAAAGTATTTTTTTACAAGAATTAGTTTAGTTAAGTCAAACAAAAAAAAAATAGTGATACCTAATAATCTAGTCAATAAGCAAATCAAAATATAATACTTTACTAACATTATAATAATTTTCTAATATAAAAAAATTACGATATGTTTAGTTATGCTATTAGAATATTTGAAGCCACGTTTCACCACACTATACATCAAAATATTTAAATTCATAAACAAATATTTAAACTAACAAATAAATAAATAAATAAATAAATAAATAAATAAACGAATAAATTAATGAATATATTAATAATAAATAAATTTATGAACAAATAAATAAATAAATAAATAAATAAATATATAAATAAACGAATAAATGAATAAATTAATGAATATATTAATAAATAAATAAATTTATAAATATATCAACAAATAAATAAATAAATAAATAAATAAATAAATAAGTAAATAAATAAATATATGAATAAATGTATACACGAATAAATAAATAAATTTATAGCTAAATAAATATATAAACAAATTAATATATAAATAAACAAAGGTATATCGTTGATATAAAAACATTTTTTTTTAATTTATCTTAATTATACATAAATAAGGAAATTGTAAAAGAATCTCAACATTTATAAATATATGCATGTATATAAATATAAACTTTTGTGATCATAAAATCATCCACTTTTACTAAACTTGTTAAGTTACTCATTTGTTTTAAATATTATAATTCTGTTGTTAATTATTATTGTTAGAAGTTTATTTTTTTGTTATTTGAATAAATCAATGTCTATTTGTAAGATTGAAATCTGAAAACATATTCATAGTGTTTGACAATGCAAGGATAAAAAGGAAAGAGGTAATGATGTGAATCATAGTGAACTGGTAAGTTTGATCTAGGGGTTCTTAGAATTTCAAGTACGGGTGAACAGGAACCAAGGATGACTGGGATAATGTCATGTCAGGGGAGGGCAACCCGCGAAGGTTGTAACATCTATTCCTTCAAGGACTCCGTGTAACCGTCTATTGCATAGATTGCTGTTAAGACTATTGTCATCTGTCCGTCCGTTTAATAGAAACTTCAACTCCATGGTGAATTCGTGATTACTATATGTTACTGATCGGTTTTACATTGGCACGATAGATTTAAATGTGACCAACTGTAGTGGAAAGAACCTACCAATTCCGACGAGCTAGCGTCGTGCAACCACCTGCGTGCCATTTCCACTTAGAAGTAAAGTTTTGTCACATCTAGTCGTCTATAGTTTAGTCGTCTATAGTCTAGTCGTCTATAGTCTAGTCGTCTACAGTCTATTCGTCTATAGTCTAGTCATCTACAGTCTATATAGTCTATAGTCTAGTCGTTTATAGTCTAGTCGACTATAGTCTATATAGTCTAGTCGCCTATAGTCAAGTCGCCTATAGTCAAGTCGCCTATAGTCAAGTCGCCTATAGTCAAGTCGTCTATAGTCTAGTCGCCTATAGTCAAGTCGTCTATAGTCTAGTCGTCTATAGTCTAGTCGTCTATAGTCTAGTCGTCTATAGTCTAGTCGTCTATAGTCTAGTCGTCTATAGTCTAGTCGTCTATAGTCAAGTCATCTATAGTCTAGTCGTCTATAGTCTAGTCGTCTATAGTCTAGTCGTCTATAGTTTAGTCGTCTATAGTCTAGTCGTCTATAGTCTAGTCGTCTACAGTCTATTCGTCTATAGTCTAGTCATCTACAGTCTAGTCGTCTACAGTCTAGTCGTCTACAGTCTAGTCGTCTATAGTCCAGTCGTCTATAGTCTAGTCATCTATAGTCTAGTCGTTTATAGTCTAGTCGACTATAGTCTATATAGTCTAGTCGCCTATAGTCAAGTCGTCTATAGTCTAGTCGCCTATAGTCAAGTCGTCTATAGTCTAGTCCGTCTATAGTCTAGTCGTCTATAGTCTAGTCGTCTATAGTCTAGTCGTCTATAGTCTAGTCGTCTAGTCTAGTCGTCTAGTCGTCGTCTATAGTCTAGTCGTCTATAGTCTAGTCGTCTATAGTCTAGTCGTCTATAGTCTAGTCGTCTATAGTCTAGTCGTCTATAGTCTAGTCGTCTATAGTCTAGTCGTCTATAGTCTAGTCGTCTATAGTCTAGTCGTCTATAGTCTAGTCGTCTATAGTTTAGTCGTCTATAGTCTAAGTCGTCTATAGTCTAGTCGTCTACAGTCTAGTCGTCTACAGTCTAGTCGTCTACAGTCTAGTCGTCTACAGTCTAGTCGTCTACAGTCTAGTCGTCTACAGTCTAGTCGTCTACAGTCTAGTCGTCTACAGTCTAGTCGTCTACAGTCTAGTCGTCTACAGTCTAGTCGTCTACAGTCTAGTCGTCTACAATCTAGTCGTCTACATTCTAGTCGTCTACATCTAGTCGTCTAGTCTAGTCTATAGTCTAGTCTATAGTCTAGTCTAAGGTCTGATCTATAGTCTAACTTATAGTATGTTTTATAGTTTTATCTATAGTCTGGGACTGTAATTTCACCTGTAGTCTCGTCTGTTGTACCGTTTAATCTCTTCTGTCTATAGACTAGTATGGTATTTGGTCTATAATATAATCTATAATCTGGTTCATAGTTTCATCCACAGTCTCCTGGTCTTGTATTAAGTTGCGTGTATGAAGCTTCATCTATACATTCCCAACTATAGACTGATTTTTGGCCTCATCTTGGCCTCGTCTTGTTTGTAATCTGGTCAATGATCTCGTCTTTAGCCCTGGTTCTAGTCCACAGTCTCCAGTATTTCTAATTTATACTAAAAATTTTCATTTTAAAATTTCTCATATTTTCACAGAATTCTAGAATTTGTCCGCGATATTTGTCTGTATAAAATTTTGGTCATTGATTGGATACGTAATCTAGCTGAGATCTACATATATAAAACTGCCAGAGAGGGAGTGAGCGTATTTCGTAAACTTATCAATGAATCTTTGGATATAGTTAAAAATCATGATATAACAGATCCAAGTTATTTACCAGAAGTCCAAAGTGTTTTAGATTATGCTCTGGATGGGGTACAACAACATAATCTCGAATTAAATGAAATCGAGGGACAAATTAATCAACTCTTTACGGCGGCCTTTGAAACAACATCAACAACATTGTTTTTGGTACTCACAATGTTGGCCATGTATCCCGAATATCAGGACAGAGTCTATGAGGAGGTAATAGGTGTTTTAAACGATGATGAAAATGAAATGACATCGGAACAAATAGATCAATTGATCTATTTAGAAATGGTTTTTAATGAAACAATGCGTATACTACCCATAGTACCGATGGTGTTTCGTACAGTTTCCAAAGAGGATATCACTCTTAGCAATGGCTTGACATTACCGGTAGGACAAATTATTAGTATTGACATATTTCGCTTGCACCGCAGTAAAGAAGTTTGGGGTCCCCAGGCTGATGTTTTCAATCCCGATAATTTTTTACCTTCTAATATGGAAGCACGTCATCCATTCTCATTTATACCGTTTACCAAAGGTCAGAGAATTTGTATTGGTAAGTGATTCAAATTAATAAATGAAAATATAAATTTCTAATAATTTTTATTCTTTATTTACAGGTTGGAAATATGCCATTTTATTTTCCAAAATTACTTTGGCTAAATTGATAAAAACTTATAAATTTTCTACAGATTTTAAATTTGAAGATCTATCATTTACTAACCACATAACTTTAAAATTTGTAGAAGAACCACAACTTCATTTAGAAAAACGTTAAGCTTTGAAATAATTTATTAGAATTAAATTATTTCTGGACAATGTTTAAACTGTACAAAATATTTATTAATCCTAAGTTTTTATCTAGATTTCCAATTAATTATTAAGTGTAATTTTTAAGCTGCTTGATTAATATTTAAAAAAGTTTAATTAATTACTTTGTAGAATAAAACCCATCGTTATTTTTACTAGAAACGATTTTTACCCCGAAATAAAAGTGATAAATGTGATCCATCGTTTTGATTCTAGCTATAAAAGGTTTCCTAGGATATTCTACTTTCGTTTTCCTGTCCAAATATTTATTTAGTGTTGTTACACTGGCAACACAAGTGTGCTTTTAACATACAATCCAAAAATATTAACTTTCTACATAATACACAAGTTACACTTTGTATTTATCAGATTCACAAACCAGTTTAAGCTCAACTTTTAGTACAGACACATGGAGTAGGTAAAGTATAAATTAAGATTCTTTAACTGTATTAAGTATTCAAAAGTTATAGTATACATAGAAAATAATAATAGTATACATAGAAAATGTAATAGTAAACACTTAAACAACACTAAATTAATGTTCTACTTTTTTTAAGATTGAAGGGGCTAATAAATAGTTTATTAATTGATTTATGGACTAGCCAATTGACTAGTTTGTTAACCAGTCTATGGACTATCAACTGCTCTATTGAACAGTCCACAACGGGTTGTTGCTTATTGTTAATGACTAGTCTATAGATTTGACAATAGACTAGCCGTAGATTAGTCAATAGACTATTTGATGGCCTAGTCCATAGACTAATCTAATACTAATCAATACACTATACACAATATACTAACCAAAAGACAGGATAACAGTCTAGTCTATAGTCTAGTCTATAGTCTAGTCTATAGTCTAGTCTATAGTCTAGTCTATAGTCTAGTCTATAGTCTAGTCTATAGTCTAGTCTATAGTCTAGTCTATAGTCTAGTCTATAGTCTAGTCTATAGTCTAGTCTATAGTCTAGTCTATAGTCTAGTCTATAGTCTAGTCTATAGTCTAGTCTATAGTCTAGTCTATAGTCTAGTCTATAGTCTAGTCTATAGTCTAGTCTATAGTCTAGTCTATAGTCTAGTCTATAGTCTAGTCTATAGTCTAGTCTATAGTCTAGTCTATAGTCTAGTCTATAGTCTAGTCTATAGTCTAGTCTATAGTCTAGTCTATAGTCTAGTCTATAGTCTAGTTATAGTCTAGTCTATAGTCTAGTCTATAGTCTAGTCTATAGTCTAGTCTATAGTCTAGTCTATAGTCTAGTCTATAGTCTAGTCTATAGTCTAGTCTATAGTCTAGTTATAGTCTAGTCTATAGTCTAGTCTATAGTCTAGTCTATAGTCTAGTCTATAGTCTAGTCTATAGTCTAGTCTATAGTCTAGTCTATAGTCTAGTCTATAGTCTAGTCTATAGTCTAGTCTATAGTCTAGTCTATAGTCTAGTCTATAGTCTAGTCTATAGTCTAGTCTATAGTCTAGTCTATAGTCTAGTCTATAGTCTAGTCTATAGTCTAGTCTATAGTCTAGTCTATAGTCTAGTCTATAGTCTAGTCTATAGTCTAGTCTATAGTCTAGTCTATAGTCTAGTCTATAGTCTAGTCTATAGTCTAGTCTATAGTCTAGTCTATAGTCTAGTCTATAGTCTAGTCTATAGTCTAGTCTAGTCTAGTCTATAGTCTAGTCTATAGTCTAGTCTATAGTCTAGTCTATAGTCTAGTCTATAGTCTAGTCTATAGTCTAGTCTATAGTCTAGTCTATAGTCTAGTCTATAGTCTAGTCTATAGTCTAGTCTATAGTCTAGTCTATAGTCTAGTCTATAGTCTAGTCTATAGTCTAGTCTATAGTCTAGTCTATAGTCTAGTCTATAGTCTAGTCTATAGTCTAGTCTATAGTCTAGTCTATAGTCTAGTCTATAGTCTAGTCTATAGTCTAGTCTATAGTCTAGTCTATAGTCTAGTCTATAGTCTAGTCTATAGTCTAGTCTATAGTCTAGTCTAGTCTATAGTCTAGTCTATAGTCTAGTCTAGTCTATAGTCTAGTCTATAGTCTAGTCTAGTCTATAGTCTAGAGTCTAGTCTATAGTCTACTCTATAGTCTAGTCTATAGTCTAGTCTAGTCTATAGTCTAGTCTATAGTCTAGTCTATAGTCTAGCCTATAGTCTAGTCTATAGTCTAGCCTATAGTCTAGTCTATAGTCTAGCCTATAGTCTAGTCTATAGTCTGGTCTATAGTCTAGTCTCCATTCTGGCTTAAAATCGTTACACTGTGTTAATACTAAGTCATAGGAATGCAAACATTTCACATTTTGCAACCCTAAAAGAAGTAATAAATTAAAATTTTTCGGCAACAGAAATTGTCCCAGGGCTTTATAAATATTTATCGCCATCACAAAACAAATGTTGGGAGTTTCCTTTTAGTGGAAATAATTAAAATATATTTTAATAGTCTAGTCTAGTCTATAGTCTAGTCTATAGTCTAGTCTATAGTCTAGTCTATAGTCTAGTCTATAGTCTAGTCTATAGTCTAGTCTATAGTCTAGTCTATAGTCTAGTCTATAGTCTAGTCTATAGTCTAGTCTATAGTCTAGTCTATAGTCTAGTCTATAGTCTAGTCTATAGTCTAGTCTATAGTCTAGTCTATAGTCTAGTCTATAGTCTAGTCTATAGTCTAGTCTATAGTCTAGTCTATAGTCTAGTCTATAGTCTAGTCATAGTAGTCTATAGTCTAGTCTATAGTCTAGTCTATAGTCTAGTCTATAGTCTAGTCTATAGTCTAGTCTATAGTCTAGTCTATAGTCTAGTCTATAGTCTAGTCTATAGTCTAGTCTATAGTCTAGTCTATAGTCTAGTCTATAGTCGTCATAGTCTCTATAGTCTAGTCTATAGTCTAGTCTATAGTCTAGTCTATAGTCTAGTCTATAGTCTAGTCTATAGTCTAGTCTATAGTCTAGTCTATAGTCTAGTCTATAGTCTAGTCTATAGTCTAGTCTATAGTCTAGTCTATAGTCTAGTCTATAGTCTAGTCTATAGTCTAGTCTATAGTCTAGTCTATAGTCTAGTCTATAGTCTAGTCTATAGTCTAGTCTATAGTCTAGTCTATAGTCTAGTCTATAGTCTAGTCTATAGTCTAGTCTATAGTCTAGTCTATAGTCTAGTCTATAGTCTAGTCTTATCTAGTCTATAGTCTAGTCTATAGTCTAGTCTATAGTCTATTCTAGTCTATAGTCTAGTCTATAGTCTAGTCTATAGTCTAGTCTATAGTCTAGTCTATAGTCTAGTCTATAGTCTAGTCTATAGTCTAGTCTATAGTCTAGTCTATAGTCTAGTCTATAGTCTAGTCTATAGTCTAGTCTATAGTCTAGTCTATAGGTCTAGTCTATAGTCTAGTCTAGTCTAGTCTAGTCTATAGTCTAGTCTATAGTCTAGTCTAGTCTATAGTCTAGTCTAGTCTAGTCTATAGTCTAGTCTATAGTCTAGTCTAGTCTATAGTCTATAGTCTAGTCTAGTCTATAGTCTACTCTATAGTCTAGTCTATAGTCTAGTCTAGTCTATAGTCTAGTCTATAGTCTAGTCTATAGTCTAGCCTATAGTCTAGTCTATAGTCTAGCCTATAGTCTAGTCTATAGTCTAGCCTATAGTCTAGTCTATAGTCTAGTCTATAGTCTAGTCTCCATTCTGGCTTAAAATCGTTACACTGTGTTAATACTAAGTCATAGGAATGCAAACATTTCACATTTTGCAACCCTAAAAGAAGTAATAAATTAAAATTTTTCGGCAACAGAAATTTGTCCCAGGGCTTTATAAATATTTATCGCCATCACAAAACAAATGTTGGGAGTTTCCTTTTTAGTGGAAATAATTAAAATATATTTTAATAGTCTAGTCTAGTCTATAGTCTAGCTATAGTCTAGTCTATAGTCTAGTCTATAGTCTAGTCTATAGTCTAGTCTATAGTCTAGTCTATAGTCTAGTCTATAGTCTAGTCTATAGTCTAGTCTATAGTCTAGTCTATAGTCTAGTCTATAGTCTAGTCTATAGTCTAGTCTATAGTCTAGTCTATAGTCTAGTCTATAGTCTAGTCTATAGTCTAGTCTATAGTCTAGTCTATAGTCTAGTCTATAGTCTAGTCTATAGTCTAGTCTATAGTCTAGTCTATAGTCTAGTCTATAGTCTAGTCTATAGTCTAGTCCTATAGTCTAGTCTATAGTCTAGTCTATAGTCTAGTCTATAGTCTAGTCTATAGTCTAGTCTATAGTCTAGTCTATAGTCTAGTCTATAGTCATAGGTCTAGTCTAGTCTAGTCTATAGTCTAGTCTATAGTCTCAGTCTTATAGTCTAGTCTATAGTCTAGTCTATAGTCTAGTCTATAGTCTAGTCTATAGTCTAGTCTATAGTCTAGTCTATAGTCTAGTCTATAGTCTAGTCTATAGTCTAGTCTATAGTACTAGTCTATAGTCTAGTCTATAGTCTAGTCTATAGTCTAGTCTATAGTCTAGTCTATAGTCTAGTCTATAGTCTAGTCTATAGGTCTAGTCTATAGTCTGGTCTATAGTCTAGTCTATAGTCTAGTCTATAGTCTAGTCTATAGTCTAGTCTATAGTTTAGTCTAGTCTATAGTCTAGTCTATAGTCTAGTCTAGTCTATAGTCTAGTCTATAGTCTAGTCTAGTCTATAGTCTATAGTCTAGTCTAGTCTATAGTCTACTCTATGTCTAGTCCTATAGTCTATAGTCTAGTCTATAGTCTATCTATGTCTAGTCTATAGTCTAGCCTATAGTCTAGTCTATAGTCTAGCCTATAGTCTAGTCTATAGTCTAGTCTATAGTCTAGTCTCCATTCTGGCTTAAAATCGTTACAATGTGTTAATACTAAGTCATAGGAATGCAAACATTTCACATTTTGCAACCCTAAAAGAAGTAATAAATTAAAATTTTTCGGCAACAGAAATTGTCCCAGGGCTTTATAAATATTTATCGCCA